TGCCCGCACGGGGACCCGCTCTTCAACCAGCAGCATCGAGGCGGCTGTACTCTCAGTCACAACGCACGGTAAAAACACCATGGGCTTTGCCAAAGCCAGCGGCACAGGAGGACTGCTGGCCAATCAGACGGACCGAGAGAAAGGTGTGTCTGAGATCGACAACCTGAGAAATGGAGTAGCGATGCAGAGCGGAGGAGCGGCGACTGTTCCCATGACAGGCAGACAGCAGGTTTCCTCACCTACATTACGCAGGTAAGCTCTTATATGCACACACACATAAACACACACTTTGTCATTGTATAAGATGCACACACACTTGTGGATAAATACAATACAAGGAACGTGCAGTGAATCCTGGTCAGTTGTTTATATGGTTATCTATCTAACTCAGGTACTGAAAATGATGGTGTGTTCACTGTAGCCACTTCCAGAGACCTGTGTCTAGGACCTTTTGACCTTTTTAAATCATTTCAATAAATAATTGTTATTAAATCACACGTTCATAATCCTCCATCATTTAGTTTATATTAGTATGATTTGAGTCATGTTTAAAAACAGGGCTCATATTTTCACATTTATAGACCATTGTCAGATCCACACAACAGTTCTTATCTCTAAATAAATGTCTGGACAGGCCTGTGATCGGGATCAAATTTTCAAGTCTCTTGGATGAACTAGTGAATTTTTACTGTAAAGTTTTCTAATTATTGTCCTAAAAATAACAATTGACCACAATCCACTATAAGTAGTGACCTTCTACTTGGCATGTTCTCTCACTTAGTGTTTTGACTTTTAACTGCCATTTAATACTGTTTAAACAGTAGTGACACGTTATGTATGTGTTAACTAATAAAGACAAAAAGGAAATCAGCTGGTGTATTTTGAGAAGAAGAGAAAACCTAGGCTGTAGTTATGACACGGACCATATGTTGAACCATTCAAGTAGCAAAACAAAGTACTGTTTGGAAAACTAAAGTAATCCATTATATGAATCCTTTATTACCTGATGTCACAGACCATCAGGCTGTGACTCAGTGATCACGGCTCTCAGTGTCGGTGGGAGGCTTTGAATTGCATTCATTTTCTTTACAGTCTGTTGCATCCATATCCTATTGAACTGGGTTTAATAAGGCTGCCGTTCACTCACTACCTCACCCATACGTAGGCAGGTTAAATCAGGCCATTGTGAAAGCAGGCCTTGAGCTGTGCTGCTGATCAGCTGCCAAGCCTCAGCCTTGGTGGAGCTGAGGGGGAGGGAGGGTGTGGTGCAGAGTAATGGGAGCTGACTCTTACCTTGGTGCTTTGCCCTCATTAATGTGAGGGAATGATAATTCTTCAAAGAGGCCCCTGTGCGTGTGTGTGTTTGTGTGTGTGTGTGTGTGCAGTCATTATTGCCCACCACAGTTCCAGTCGACGCAGCCTATTATTTAACTCTTAAGTCAGGATTAGTAGAAAAACCAGGGGAGCTGAGGCTTTCCTTCTGTCACCCTGTGACTGTGTTTCTGTGTGTGTGTGTGTGTGTGTGTGTGTGTGTGTGTGCGCGTCTCGTTTTCCTTATTATCATTGCTGAAACATTGCTTTAATCTCATTCAAAAAGCAATGTAAACAATGGTGACTCTAATCACTCTATAAAGTAGAGAGAATTTATTTTTATTTTTATGATAGCCTACGATGTGACAGCAACACCAAAATAGGATATAATTAAGATGATGGTATGATTGTATCAGTGCCGGTGTCCTCTCAACCACAAACCACAGATTACACACTCTCTGTCCTGCTCATTTTCTCACCTTAGCCTCCCTTCTTGGTCCAACAGGTTGTTTGGTGGAAAGTCCAGTAAACAGGCTCCAGTCACCACTGCTGAAAATATGAAAAACTCCACTGTCATTTCCAACCCCCATGCGACCATGAACCATGTGGCCACAGTACCAGAGTCCCCTGATGTTGGTTCCCTGGACAGTGAGACCAACAGCCCTCTGTTTGGAGGCAGATTGTTGGGGTCAGGGACAGGGACACTGGGCAGCGAGCAGGTGAGTCACACAGCAGGACATTGGCTTCAATCTCAGTGACAGGAATATTAAACGTATCATCATAGTAGTAGCAGCAGCCTTGAACTGTCAGTATGTTGGTGTCACCGTGAAGGGAAGTGTTCAATGTAGAGCAGTTGTTTTTTTCTCCTGGGGCCTAAGGATGACTTTTGTTTTTCCCAATGATCAGACAGAAAGTCCTTTTGACTACAACCCTACAGCAACAACAGTCTGCTTCTCCACGTTATGCCTGAAGGTTGAATGCTGCTGTTTGTAATAAACCTCCGTGTGACTGGTGTTTAAAGTTCATTTGTTTATTCTCTAAACAAATATGAAACACATTACCAGGAAGCCTGACATTGACCTAACCTGACACTCATCACATGAGTCATTATTTTGATGATGAAATACATGCAAAAATCTCCCCTAAAGACACCAGGCCAACTTTCACAGTTCACAACACCTACTGTATGGTGAATGTTTAATGATGAAACGTGTGATTAGGAAATATTTGGAACAAACACTTGGAAAAATCTTTTGATACCGGCAGGTTGTCCTTTGAGTCACATCCTGCATGTTTTAAACGTTAGTTCATAACAGTCTGGTCAGTATGTTTCATCTCTGTCTAGAGCTGTCACCTATAGAAGTGGAATGTCCTATAGATCTGTGACAACCACCACAAAAATCACTGGCAGATCAGCAAATACTTGTTTCCCGAGCTCTTCATTTTTTTTAATTATATGATGAATTCAGTGTGGTGCTTTGGCCCAGAGGCAATGTCTCTGTCATTGGTGTGGAACACCAGGGTTCACCTCGTGGGCAAGTTCGAATCCCGGTTAGGGCGGTTGGTACCTTCCAGTGGACTCACCACCCGCAGGAAGGTTTGGTACGGTGCAATGTGATTTGGGTGGCGACTGCTGCCCCCGCGACCCGGTAACGGATAAGCGGATGAAAATGGATGGATGGATGATGAATTCAAATGTAACAAGGGTGAAGCCTGGTTGTCAGTTTGTCAACTTCAGCTTCTCTGGAGTGTAGTGTCTTTTTCTGTTTGCCCAGTTAGAAGTTTTCTAACATTTCGGTGAATTGATCATGTGAAAAGGCTGAACACGGTGTGGTTAACTTCCATCTGAGGAGTCAGACCTGTCGTTGAAGTTTGGTTTAAGGATTTAGACTGTTTATGTGCCTTCGAGCTCTGGCATGATTACGAACTGTGTTTCTGTGTTTGTAGAGCTGAGGGCAGGGCTTTACTGTGGACCGGGGTGATTGTATTCTTCTGCTACAGCAAATAAACTGTTAATGTGCTAAAGTTTACTGTAGGTGGAAGTACATGTCAGAAGTACAGGTACTGGTCTGCCAAACTGGAGCATGCCCAGTCTTGACGTTCTTTCCTGATTCATGCTTTGTCAGTCTGTGAATCATAAAATGACAGACATTTTTCAAGCTTCACTCAAGTCTTAACAGTGTGAGATGTGATTCAGGTTATGGTGGTAAAAATGACTGATGAATGAATGAATGAATGGTGAAAAGAAAACCAATTGGTTATAGGCTAACAAATCAGTCATTTGTTAATCATTAATAGAATCTTTTCAGAGTTAAATAATGGAGTTTCCCATACTGAGCCCCAGGTTATACCCAGACACTTTAAAGGAAAAAGAACAAATATGTGAAGTGACCTACTGTATAGACATAGAAATATTCATATTCTCTATCCAGATTTGAAAGATAAAATTCTCCTCCCACCCCCACAGGCCTCCAGCCCAGGCTCGGTCTACTCCTCCACCGGCCCCTCCAACAGCCTGACGTGGGGCACCACCTACAGCAGCTCTTCTGCCCAGAGCAGAGAGAGTACACTGGGTGGGCACTGTGGGACTGGAAGCATGGGTTACCCCTCCGTCAGCAGCATGCACACCAGCAGCGAGTCCATCGACATGAGTCTCGGCAGTGCCGGAGGAGGAGGTGTCGTCGGAGGCGATGGCAACCACAGAGAGGACACGCTGTCTGCGCTGGGACGCACAGGCAGTGTGAAGACTGGGATGTCTGAGAGGTGAGGAATCACAGACGTGACAGTCACACGTTTCATCCATAGTTAAAAGAGTGTGACATGTTGAAATGTGCATGACGTTATTAACACACCCCAACACTTGCATCGGTCTCCACACTGTAAGGTTAGTACTGTAGTAACTTTACTTCTCTCATCTGTTCTGAAAACCCCAACAGTTGGTCTTTCATTAAAAAACCCTGCAGGTTCAACATCTTCCTTTTTAAAATCTGGAATGTCATCGATGCACAATGTGTTTGTTATGGTGAGGTGATGCCTTTTTTTGTTGTTTTTTTTACCGTGACTGTCTGCACGCGAGCAGAGAAACAGAATCTCATTACATTCTCACTGAGTTATTCAGTAATTGCGGTGGTTGTAGTGGATTTCCTCCTGACAGTTTGACGCAGTAATGTGACAGATGAAACATAATAGCGTGTAGAGCTGAGGCTCTGAGGCTACGGTGACAATCACTCTCCCTGCCAGGCTCTCTCACTGACCTCACAGTTGAAGGATCTCACAGCTGACTTGTGTTCTGAAGGATTTCTACTGAACTCTCTAAAATATTTCTCTCTCTGTGTGTGTGTGTGTGTTATGTTTCTATGTCCCTTCTTGTCTCCCATCAGTCCTCTCTCCTCCCCCTCTGCTAGCCCTATATTCAGCCGAAACACGCTGCCTCGGAGGCAGGACAGGTAAATGCCCCTGTGTGCAGAGACAGGCTAAATCCAATGCCTCTGTTACACAGAGGAGGCAGTAGAGAGCTGTAAAGAACACTTCTGTGTGATCCTCAGTCGGACTTTGTGTTACTGTGTTGGTTGGTTTGTAGGTTTTAAACACAGCTAGTTTGTATGTGAACAGAAATCAGTGCTAATGTAAGTTTTGGAGTCTCCGGGTAATTTTTTTTCATTGGTCCAAAATCACTTCTTTTAACCGTGACATGCTGCCACCTTGTGGTAGAGATTGTACTTGCAGTTTTACAGAATAGATAGACAAACTTTATTGATGCCAAAATAAGAAGTTAATTAAAAAAAATATTTTATTTACAAAAAATACAAAAAAATTCTATAAAATATTTTATGTTCTGAACCTCCAGGATTAATGCACTCAAATAAAATAAAGAAAGAATGTTCTACAAATTAGTAGGTAGTAAAGGTCAGTTGTATATGATAACATTCATGTACAGTATTTAATAGATAGAATTGTTTTTGTGAGATGCAGACACATGTTCCCTTGCCTCCTCCCTCCATTCCCTGCCTCCTCTGAAGTGTTTCTCTCCCACAGTGGGCCACATTGTGGCAGAAACACTCTGCCTAAAAAGGGACTCAGGTACTAACTCCACCCTCTTCTGGACATTGTGTGCACCCTGGTTTCACCAAATGTGTCTCCTGATTTCCATTCTAACTTTTTGCATCTATATCACTCTTTGGGGCTTGTGTTCACCTGCTTTTAAAAGTGCTTTTGTCCTTTGTGTCTGTCCCGCGGCACATGGCCTTGTTGTGTTGTGCTTCTGTGAAGAGGACTGTCACGCTGCGGTCCTCGGACAGAGCTGTCACTGTGGTACTGCTGCAGCAGGCTTGAGTTTTTAGGTGTCACATTGTTTGGCATTGTCACTGCTTCACTTCAGTTTCTGTCACGATTAAATTAAAATCAATCTGTGTTCACTGTTGTTGGTTATTTCAGCCTGATGCTCCTCCTCCTCCTCCTCCTCCTCCTTCTACTCCTTGATCCTGGCCTATAATTTGTCTGACACTTTGTTTAATAGAATCAATTTAAAAGAAAATCCAGATCAACAAAATCACACTGTCAACAGAGTTTCTACTCTGGTTTCTTTCCTTTTGGTAACTTTAACCTCTCTTTTGTCCTTCTGTAGGTATGGTCCATCCCCACAGCTGCGAGGGCATGAAGAGGCCCGTGATTGGCTGCGTTCCCACTCCACTAGTGGACTGCAGGATTCAGCCAGTAACTCCCCGTTCTCCCCCGGCTCCAGTCTTACCTCCCCATCTGGCACTCGCTTTAACTTTGGACAGCTTGGTATGTTTTCACACACCAAACCACAATCAAACACCTGAATTTATTAACCAAGAAATCAGGCTAGAGCTGAACACAGGTTGTTACAGGCTTTTAGAGCAAAGCTATAACTACACTTTATTTGTCTTGACTATTCTTTTGAAAGAGTGGAATTAATTAACTATTATGTTTGCCAGAAAATGCAAACACAACTTTATATTTACCAAGATTTTTTTTATTTCTAGTTTATTTTTTATCTGTATTTTTTCTAAAGTAAAATAATAAACAATTCAATAAAACACTGCTGACTTTGTGTAAGTTTTCAGGAAATGTTTTACAAATTCTGGTATAAATTTCACAGCCTCTAGCCCAACATCGGCAGCTCAGATCAACCTGACCGGTCTGCGAAACAACAGCCTGACCAATCAGGACGTGACCTATGACCCCACTGGTGACAATAGGTTGAGGAACTCATGCATGTCACTTGACGAAAAGACTCGCACCATGAGCCGATCAGGCTCCTTCAGGGACGGCTTCGAGGAAGGTAAGAGGAGACATGTGATGAGTGAAGGTGAAACGAATCCTTGGAGTCAGTCACTGAACTGACTGCTTATTAGGGGTTCATCTTATTTCATGACCTGCTCTGCCCCCTCTCTCTCTCTCTCTCTTTCTCTCTCTCTCTGACCTCATCACTTCCTTTTCCACGCTGAACACTCAGTTTCCACAACTGTTATTATTCCATTTGTTTGGAGAACATTAGAGCGGATTTAAACGGTTCCTTCATCCTGTTAAAAGTACATAATCAGATTTGGCATCATTGTTTTTTTTCCACCAGGTGGTTTCAATGGGAAAATACACAGCAATGCTGTTCCCACCAGTAGACTGACTCAGGCAGATCCTGAATAAACAGCAGGTTATAGCAGAAGAGGTTTGCTCTAAAGGATATTTTTGGCTGTCAGCGTCACGCAGAGAATAAGAAATACCACTAGGTTTAGTTTTGGAAACTGCAGGTCGTTTCTCTTCTGCACTGTGCTGTGAGATGTGCTGTGAGACAAAGAGTCCGAGATCAAACTCAGTGATTTGACACGACCGCTGTTGCAGCTCTGCCTTAGGGAGGTCAGCTGTGTTCTTTAGGAAACTCTGTATATGCGGAGTTGGACTTGAAAGCACCGTTCTTTCTATTAACCTTCAGCCCCAAGGCACAGCATATGAAATATATATATGTGTATGTATATATCACTGTTGGGAGTCTGTTTCTACTTTTAGATTAATAGTCTGATGCAGCAGGCTCAAAAAAGTAATTTTTCCCGTAGCTGCTCTTTGACTGGATGTGAACCTTTTCTGCTAACGTGCTACAATAATACCACACAGTCATCATTGCCATTACACAGTAGCATGATCCTGTCTCACTCTGTCGTCCTGCTCCATGAGTCTGTCTTCCTTTCACTTGAAGATAATTACAGGGATCACAGTCAGGGGCGTGGGATGTGAGGTGATGACATACAAGAAAAGTACATTACTTTCTCTGTGTGTGTCTGTGTGTGTGTGTTAAATCCTGGCAGTGTTAATCTGAATGACACATATATCTATACATATATACACACATACATATATATGAACGTCCTATCATTGCATGTGACCGAAGTGTAAGGTTACACAGCCGTTGTTTGATTGACAGGACAAAGGTCACATCATCCGACTAACACTTTGTCAGACTTGTCTTTGTCAGAGTGACGCCCCTGAAAACCAGTAGTTCGTTCTCCTCACATACACACACATCCTTTATGTACGCTGACACCCTTCTCTAATGTCTGTACACCAACTCAATCTGAACAATCAGACGCCTATAGACATTTCTGGTTATTTTTTACCCCATGTAACACACAATGTTATTTTTGTATTTGTTGATGTAAGAATTATGACAGGGAATCATATATTCAGTCTGAAGTAAAAACAGTGTATTTTTTCCCACTCCCTATGAGGTAAAGGAGTGAATAAAAAAAAAAACAAATCCGCTGAGATCAGCGAAATCTCCCTGTGAGGTCGATCACTCCATGTGCCTAATCCTGTCTAATCAGCTCAGAGTCTTTGAAAACAGAGGTGGTGCTGTTGAGTCCTGAGCTCTCCTGTTTGATTAGAGTCTTCAGCACAGTAATAATAATAAGCAGGCTGCTGAAAATCCCAATATAATGTGTTTCATCTTTTTAATCACAGAGCTGGAGATTTGATGCTTGTGTGGAGGTAGATG